TACAGAAGAGGCCCGAAAAACGCGAGAGCCTTGAGGGAGGTGACAAGAGCCACGGTAGCTGCCCGCAAATATGCGGTTCAGCTCGATCGGCAAAAGTGGCTGGAGTTCAGTGCCTCGCTCTCGGAAAAAACATCTGCTCAAAAACTATGGGCAGTCACCAGAGCCATGCTGGGCAAAACAAGGGATCGCGCAGCGACCCTCACGCTCGCACTCACGACAAACAAGACGGTTGAAACGCTGGCGCAAGAGGCTGGAGACACGCTCTTCCCCCAGCCAGCGGCGACCAGCACCCCACCAGCTGTGGGGGACCCATACGAAAGGGTCAAGATCAACGAGAAGGACCCCATGAACCAACCTTTCACCAGAGGAGAAATGGAGGACGCTCTACACCACGGGAAACCAAACGGCGCTCCAGGTCCGGACGGAATAACCACCGCCATGCTCCGAAACCTTCCCGAAGCCACAAAAACTCGGCTTCTTGAAGACATTAACGAAGTGTGGCGCACTAGCAACATTCCAGACCAGTGGAAACTCTCCACTGTTATTCATATTCCTAAGCCCGGCAAGAAGCCGACCACCCTAGCCAACTTCCGTCCAATCTCTCTCACCTCCTGCGTCTGCAAGCTGGTGGAGAGAATGCTACTTGGCCGCCTCTCCTGGTATCTGGAGCGGACGAAAGCCTTTCATCCGACGCAGACAGGGTTTAGAACTGGCCTGGGCACGCAGGAAAGCCTTATCCTACTCTCCAAAGATCTTATTCCAAAGCCCATTCCACAGAAATTTAAGATCAGAACAGTCGTCGCGATCGATGTCAAAAAAGCTTTCGACAGCGTCCCACACTGGGCAATTGTCCAAGAAGCGCGCGCCCTCGGCATTGAAGGCCGCGCATTAAATTTCATCAAGTCTTTCCTCAAGACTCGCACCTTCGCGGTCCGGATCGGCAAACACCTGGCAGCGCCAAAACCGAACAAAGTAGGAGTTCCACAAGGGTCAGTTCTGTCCCCACTTCTCTTCAATTTGGCCATGGCGCGTCTCCCCGGTCGTCTGCAACAGGTATCCAACCTCCACTTCACCATCTATGCGGACGACGTTTCCCTCTGGACAGTGCGCGGCAACGTTCCGCAACAACAGCGCGTCCTCCAACGGGGGATCGACGTCGTGACAAGTCACCTCCAAAGCGTAGGCTTAACCGCCTCGCCGGATAAGACAACCTACGTAGTCATAGCCCCCAGACGGGAAAGGGACGCGAACATAAGCTCAACTCTTCACTTGACTCCCGCGGGCCAACCGATCACATCAGCACCTGAGATATGCATCCTAGGACTCCAATTCCACGAGGATGGCACCGCAAAGGCTTGGCTAACAATGGTCACCCAACAGTGCCAGGCAGCACTAAACGTCATTAGAAGGATCAGCGGCACCAGAGGAGGCGCTGACGAGGAAGTTGCCCGCCGCATGGTGAAAACCCTCATCGTCTCCCGCATCTGCTACGGTGCCCCCCACTACCGACTTACCAACACACAATGGAAGAAACTGGAAATCCTTACCAACAACGCAGCTCGAATTGTCACTGGCCTCCCCCGATATACACCGCTAGACAAGCTCAAGGCACACGCGAAGCTCAACACGGCTCGAGAAACCGTAGAGGAGAGAGCACGAGCTCATCTAGAGCGACTCCAACACTCAGCCTCCGGACGACAAATCCTAGAGATGATCGGCTCAGATATCAGAGCCCTTCCCCCTCTCCCGGAGGTTGACCCCCCATGGAGCGACGATGTGTGCCTCGTGGACGACCGACCGGTACCAAGGGGAGCCGGGCCCAGTCGCCCTGGCAAGCAAGCTTGCCAAGTGCGACAGCACTGCAAACTCGTCCAAGAGTGGACGGACACCAATGAGAAGCTCGCAGTATACACTGATGCGGCTTTCGTCTCCTTCCCTAAACCGATTTGCTCCGCTGCGGTTGTGATTCCCCGCCTAGGAATCACCACGGCCGAAACATTGCCCGGCGGCACATCGGTCAAGGGCGGAGAACTTGGAGCTATCCAACTGGCACTGCGTACCGTCATCGAGAAGGAAATCCGACCGACACACCTACAGATTTTCACAGACTCTGCGGCTGCATTAATAGAATGTCGCTCTCGCCACTCCCCGAACAAGCGAGTTAAGGCAATCCGAAGGATGGCCTCCGACCTAATTGCAGCCGGTACAACCATCAAAGTGTCCTGGATACCTGCCCACGCAGACATTCAGGGCAACGTACAAGCTCACTGCATGGCCCGCGCGCATCTGGATTCCCCCCGCGAGCCGAGTAGTGTGCCAAATCACCTACAACAAGAACACGGGTACTCGCTCCCGCCTGAGGTTGGCGACGATGGCGAAGACCCAGACTACGACCCTGAGGAGGCAAAACAACTCGTTAAAGAATCCTCAAGACAGACCCTGAGGGCAGCCCTGACCCCCTGCTTAAATCCGCTCCCGAGCGGAATGGGCAGGGGATCAACGGTGCTGCTCCGGAGGATAATCACAAACACCACATGCACACCGGCACGCAGGACGCATTGGACCAAGCCACCCACATCACCCCATTGCAGCTTCTGTCAAGACCCCAGCCTTCTTGCCGACCAAAGCCACTTACTCTGGGACTGTCCGGAGCTGGAAGAGATTCGTCGAAAACACATACCACCAGACGTATCCAGCATGGAGGAATGGGTCCATCCTCAGGGCCCTCCCGACAAACGTCGGGCGGTTATCGTATCCACGATAACGTCGGGCAAACGTCGGGCGCCCCGCATCGTATCCACGATGCGGTGCGGTGAGCCCCGCATCGTGGATTTCATCCACGATGCGGGGCTCACCGCCTATCTTTAAACCCCCTCAACCCCTTCCCTTGGCCATAGATCCAGGCTTGTAAGCCACCGATCTCAGCCCCATTCTCCCTCCCCCAAAGGCCAATAAACGCTTTCTGAACTGAACTGGTAGACGAATTTTTTTATTTCACCGAAGCGCAAACTTCCTCAATTCATTTGGTAACTACAATGCACCGAGTAAATTTGTTAGTAGATACAGACTCAAAAATGCTGTTTACACTGTAAAGTGACAGTACAATTTGTATTTATCGTTTAATTTTTTTTGGACTCTTAAAGTAAGCTAAAAAAAATGAGAGCCGTTTACAACTCCCTGTAACACCGAATTGGAGCGCAGCTCTTGAGGAGGAGGGGGGAAGGGTACTGAGGGTTACCTGTTCTCGGGGCGGGGGGGGGGGGGGGGGGGGGGTCATGTGACCTTGGGGGGTCACGTGACCCCCCAGAAAAAATTTTCCGCTCGATTGAGCGGGGAATTTTTTCCGCTAGAGTTAGCGGGGAAATTTTTCCGCTAGGTTTAACGGGAAAATTTTTCCGCTAGACAGCGGGGAATTTTTCCGCTAAATCTAGCGGGGAAATTTTTCCGCTAGATTTAGCGCGGAATTCTTTCCGCTAGATTTAGCGGGGAAATTTTTCCGCTAGATTTAGCGGGGAATTTTTTCCCGCTAAATCTAGCGGGGAAAATTCCGCTAGGTTTAGCGGGGAAATTTTTCCGCTAGATTTAGCGGGGAAATTTTTCCGCTAGATTTAGCGGGGAATATTTTCCGCTAGATTTAGCGGGGAAATTTTTCCGCTAGATTTAGCGGGGAATATTTTCCGCTAGATTTAGCGGGGAACTTTTTCCGCTAGATTTAGCGGGTTAATTTTTCCGCTAGATTTAGCGGGACATTTTTCCCGCTAAATTTAGCGGAGAAATCTTTACGCTAAATTTAGCGGAGAAATTTTTCCGCTAGATTTAGCGGGAAAATTTTTCCGCTAGATTTAGCGGGGAATTTTTTCCGCTAAATCTAGCGGGGAAAGTTTTTCCGCTAGATTTAGCGGGGAAATTTTTCCGCTAGATTTAGCGGAGAAATTTTCCCGCTAGATTTAGCGGGGAAATTTTCCCGCTAGATTTTTCCGCTAGATTTAGCGGGAAATTTTTCCGCTAGATTTAGCGGGGAATTTTTTCCGCTAAATCTAGCGGGGAAAATTTTTACGCTAGATTTAGCGGAGAAATTTTTCCGCTAGATTTAGCGGAGAAATTTTTCCGCTAGATTTAGCGGGAAAATTTACCCATAATGCACCGCGCGGTTACGCCGACGGCGACGGCGACGGCGACGGCGACGCCGACGCCGCTCAAGCCGGAAACGGGCCCCTAAGAGCTGCGCTCTAAAAACCTAAAAATTATCGGTCCCGTAAAATAATTATGAACACAAAACCGAAAAATGTAATTTTGCTAAGCTGTTAAATGTTTTTATTATCTTTCGAATACGACCACTCCGACCCCAATAGGTTGAGTAGTTGCTGAGAATAAGGACAGAAAAGTTGCCATATAGCAAATACATAGGCTCTTCTACCGTGATATCTCTTTGAAAGGGTAAATCAGCTCGCCTTGGGTTAACACCCTAAAGCTCTCAGAGCGATTTTACGGAGGGCATTACGATAATGGCGTGGTGCAAAAGACGGACATGTCCAAACGCGAGACTGAGGAAGATGTACACTTCGGCTTTGAAAGTTTAGTTTTTAATACTCTGACAATTGGTTTCTCAAAGTGGAATTCAGAGCGTTTACACAGCACGAATACATACAGGTATATTCTATATACACTAAAAAAATCTGAAGCGCTACATTCTCGCAAAGCAATTCAGAGATGCAATTGCCGCAACCTCCAAAGAAGCTCGGTAAGGACGAGGTAGAATATGTGATATATCTAGGTTTTACACGTATTGCAGTGATTGACTCTTCTAAGTGCTTTGGGGGAAAGTAGACACTCCAAACTTGTTAGAGTGCATTGAATAGACATGTATATATTCAATTACATATTTGTGCAATTTCATTGAATAAGGAGCGACAGTGATATAGTCGGGAATCGCGGCGCCCTGCTTTTTTAGGTTGCCGGTGACTGGAGCTGTCCTGGTATGGCATCGCGATACCATGCTTTCATCGCCCAAAGATGAGGAGGATATCAGTAGGGCCCTGGTAGCTGCGCCTAGCTGTAGCGAGGCCCGAACGACGCATGTTCCGTTGAATTCTTCTGGCTTCGGGTTGACGCCGCGTAAGGAACGGTGAGTTGGTAGAGGACGACGCCGTAGCCGAGCGAGGCGGCCAGCAGACGCGACAGGCACCGGCCGTCGGGTTTGAAGAAACCCAGGGCATCGGAGTAGTCGCGCAACAGCGGTGCCATGTCGTGTCCGCCACACGCGGGCATCCGCGCCCGGACCGCGTTGGCCAGGCTTCCCTCGAAGGCCTCGGCTGCCCAGGCCACCAGGGCCAGGGTCCACACGCTGTGAACCATCTGGGACGAGAGAGTGTTCCGGTCTCCAAGAGTTCCGAAGATCTTCAAATGGGGAGTTTAACCCATGCACGATGCCCGAAGCGCGTGTCTGACTGGCGTGTTTAAGGTCCTATTCTGCCCATGCATCGAAGGGAGTCCTGAAGTGGAAACAAATGAAGTCACAGAAGCCGGAGTGCCATGCTGTCGGGTGCTACCATCTTGACGGTTTTCTGTATAAGTTCTGGAAATAAGCACGAGAGAACGCGAGTATCGCTGTCGTCGCGGCGTCTCAATTTCTGGCTGCTCAAGAATACGTCTGCTGTCGAGCTGGGGAGCGATCTGCAGTAGGCCACGCGTCTGCTGCGTCTAAAATCGCTGCTGTGACACCGTCAGGATCGTGGCCTGAGACAGCATGGCATTGTGATGATGTCATCAGGCAGAAATCGAGGGACCAGGTTTGTGGAGGTGGTAAACAGAGTGTCGAACCGATATTTTTATCGGTTCGGTTCGGGTTCGGGTTCACGGCTTTTGGTTCAGTTCCGGTTCAGTTCCGGGGCGCAAAAAATAACGGTTCAAACCGGTTCGAACCGGTTCGAACCGGTTTGAACCGCTAAATTGAGAATATGTTTTCCGCGTTGTTCTGTCAATAGGCACTATTTAGGCCGTGAAACTAACTACTGTAAACGATCTGATTTTTGAGAGGACATATTTTTTAGAATTTCACGAATCGCCTACAATTCGCGAAAAATGGGTCCCGCGAACAATTTCGCTAAAATGTAAACACATTGGAATTTATATTGAGATTCCACCGCGTCGAGAAAATTACAACCCGCGAATTATTCCGAAACTTCAGCTTTGACCTAAATCGCGAAATATTGAGCCCACGAAAAATAAGTCATTTACAGTATATAGTTTTCTTTTTTTTTTATCGTTTGTTCAATCCAGTTTTATTTTCAGGTACCAAAATTATAAAATTCTGTTATTTATTCCTACACAACAAGAAAAGAAAATCTACATTAACATACAAAACGTCGTGTTTATACGACTCAACATCCCTTCGTTTACCAGAGTCACATACATTGTACCTGAATCGAAATGTTTTCGCGAAGTGAAGTAGGTTGCCTAAAAAAACCGTGATTGGTACAACTTTGTATCGCAGTATTAGAAGTTGAATCGTTGTTTTGCCCTTAAACTAAGGAATTAATTACAGTGAAGAAAATCATGAAATGGGCACCTCGTCGCCATATATATTATGATATCTGTTTTACGGAATACGTTGCACAATATATATATATTGACAAGACGACTGAGCTTAAGACAATATAATTTTCAAAATGTCACGAAAGTCACGAGACAAGCCCTTCCAGTCTATATTTTATAGATACACTAAGCGACGATCACAATGCTTGTTTTTCTAACCAGCATTGTTTGCTCTCAGCACCATGATGCGGGCGACGAATCATGCAAAAAGGAGTGGCTGAAATTGTTCACTCTAATCTATGAGCACCTTCGTACTGAGATCGAATCTCACCTAAAACAGTGCTTACTCATGTAAACATTTTCTTATTTTGGATAAACTGGCATAGCCGGTTGAGGTTTTTTCTTGACAAGATGCCGGTCAATTTAATTTGGAAGTAAGCATCACCCTCGCTAATTGATGATTTTTGTTAAATAGAACAAAGTGGTATTTCATGCTCTACTCAATTTGGAAGCTACTTAATTGGACACTTTCTTACAGTTTGCGTGTGTAATCGTCATAGTTCCACCATTTGTTTCAGTATATTTTGTTTTGGTTCGACCCACAGACACGTAAAAGTTCTGTTTAACAGATAAAAGACGCGATAATAAACTTCTATATATTTGAGAAGTTATATATGCGTGAGGAACACATAGTTATTTAAATTAGCTTAAAAATAAAAAATAAATTATCTAAAGCTTTCCCAAATCACCTATAACGTGTCTATAGAGGATTAAAGCGCCGAAAAAGATTTGCAGAACATCTTTTAGATAATTTAAAGGCGCATTTACTAATATATCTTTGAGCTGAGGATCTTTTATTTATGCTGCCAAATCTTCAGACAGGAATTAAGTATATTTTTATTATCATCGATAAATTTGACTTTATGAAGTTCACATAACCGCCTGAGACCGACACGGAAGGACGATACTCGAAAATACGCCAGCTGCATGTTGAGTCTTCGGAAACGTGCTTTTGTTAGCTGTTTTGCAGTGTAAAATACTGGGTTGCAGGGATGCCAAAAAGCACTGTGGTCACATGCTATATCGGAAGGCAAATACGCGAAATGTGCAGAAATAAGGAGATAACACGTTATTTTTCTAAATAATCCCTTACACAATGCTTTACTGCAAAAAGAGATGCATAGAAATGCATCTATTTTTGCAGTATTCCTAATTAAACATAAATTGCGCGAACGGCGAACGAAGATTCTTAGAATCCTAATATAAATCACGTTTGGGCATTAGCTTGCCTCAGCTCGAAACGTCGCGAGATACTGCCTCGGGACGCTAATGTTATCTTAGGTTTTACGTTCACTTGTTTTGGAACCATACTTCACGACTCTGTTCTTTATCAGTCATGTGCTCCAACATTTCACAAGGCTGCCGTATATCATCGCGAGACTGCTATAAATACTACACAACTTTACACCTTGGACGTCTAGTGCTAGTGTTGCGAACGTCGCACTTCACCAGAAAGCTGAAGTATTTAACATGGTTTGCGCGTGACGTAATCGCACTATATACTGGTTGTCATTGCGAGTTGTTGTAGCTGAAAAAATCAAATCCGGTGGGGCAAAATGCACGCTGCAAAAGGTTCCCACTCTGTGCAAGCTATGTATTTGAGAGGCACATATTTTTCTTGTTGGTGCATCGCCGTTAGGCACGACGCGAGTATCTGGCACGACGAAAACGTGCTTTCTGGCAAGAGTGTTTTCACAAATAAAAGTTGTACCAACTACCCATCTGTCACTATCGTTTCCAGGCCACGCTTTCTAGTCTGCGCCGAAAATGCGGGGCAGAGGATTCTTTACGACACATTATGTTTTAAAACTACACCCCCTCCCCATTCCCTTTTCTTCTTTAGTTGCTCATCAAGATACTTTTTATTCCTCAGGGGTTGCCTGCTCCGTATTGGGTGGTGTTCATTCGACAATTATATTTGTGTCACTTGTTAACAGTAATTCTTCCCTGCTTTTACTATGCACCACACTGTGAAGTTTAAACAAAATACAGGGCGGTCGAAACTTGGAGAACTTGAGAACGACACTCCTGTGAGACTTAGAGCGGCTGCCAACGTTCGGCTATCCCCGTGAGGCCACTAGGATCTTTCTTTTCAGGTATCCCTCCCGTACACACTAATAGTTCTATGTAATGTCGGACTAATACGTTACATTTAGACCTTTTAACACTTCTATTCCCGGTACAACTTTCTGAGGCCGTTCAGCAACAACGAAAACATGTTTGGGAGCCTCAATGGCGTGCATACATGCAAAATGGGTCGTACAGCATTTTTTTTTTTACCTTAAGTTGAATAAATACCGCTAAGATGTAATCCCTGACGTTGATAACTTGCAAAACCATCCATTAGTTTGTACCTCTGCGAAATGGTAGACGCACTCGAAAGAAAGAAATGAAACGGCTTTCCCCTCCTCAACTCGCAATTAGAACTATCAGCCACGTGATCTGATCCTAATATATACACCGTCAGTGTTTATCATAGTCATACGGAGGGTTGGCAAAGCATAGAGCATGGGCTGATCTTCAGATATAGTTTTAGTTGGGCTATAATGCCCGAGCCCTACTAAAGTGACAAACAGAAACAAACGACAGCGGCAAGCCTTAAACCAGAGTATTTCGCGATTTGACAGGCTTTGTAGAATAAAGAAGGCTATGCTCAAACACGAGCATCATGCACACGAGGTTACCATTTGCAGGCTTGTAAACACTCGTGCTAACTTTACGAGCACCGAACAACTCAAAGCAGTATAAACGTATACCATCGCGAGCATGCGGCATGTGTCTGAGACTTGTCGCTGTCGTTTTTTTTTCTGTTTCTAGTTCTAGTGGGACTCGGGCCCATCATAATCTTTGAGTTGAACACGAGCTGTTACCCGAATGTTTGGCGATGCTGGTTGTCATGAACCAGAGCATTCGACTCGGGATCATGACAATCGGGTACATCATGGTGTCACGGGACTCTCAGTGCGAAGTTGTGATGTCATTTGACGTCACGGTATCAACAACGTTAATAGATATAGCGACGTCCTCAATTTGAATCGACTTAACGCGGTGAGTCACGTGACGTCACGGGGTCACGTGATGTGACATTACTTTACAGCATGTCTTGACATCATGACGTCACGTGACGATGTGACACATGCCTAATCATAGTGCCAATAAGAAAGTGCCGCAAAAACCCAGGATTTATTATACATTGCAATTCTGTATATGACGATTTGATCAATATGTAGAGGAATACACGTGCCACTTTTTTATTCCCAGATATAAAATTTGTAATACTAACAAAAAAAATACCGTGAACCGTTTTGAACCGGTTACCGTTATATTTTTTTCCGGTTCAGTTCCGGTTCAGTTCCAAGATGGCGGCAAAGATTTCGGTTTGGTTCAGTTCCGGTTCGGCTAAAAATAACGGTTCTGTTCCGGTTTTCGGTTCGGTTCGGTTCCGGTTCGACACCCTGGTGGTAAACACACCAGTCGGAGACACATTCCATGGCACCATATTGAAAGTTACTTGTATACTTGTCCACGGAAGACCACCACTTGAACGGAGAGCAACCGGTCAGAAGGAGAGCTCGCGGATATTCGAGATTCAGGCCTCCCGCGCAACTCACTTGGTAGATTGAGTAGAGCAGCAGTGCTGACAGCTGTCTGGTGATGTTGATGGAGTGCATGGACTGTCGAAGCGCCACCGTGAAGCCCACGGCGGTGTTGCAGGCCCAGAGAAGCAACGGGAACGCGAAGTGTCTGGCCAACCTCCTCCGACGCCTGAACATCGACAAAAGGGAACACTGTGGTTGGTTCAGGAGCTCGACTCGCAGGGCTGCCAGGTCCAGGGCGTATTGCAGAGCCAACCAGGAGATGAGGGTGTTGGCAGCCATGAAGCTTTGAAAAGAGAGGGGGGAGGGGAGAGAAGGTTACCACCTATTGTTCCGAATGACAATTGATGAGGCGACGAAAACGGCAGCAAACGAAACCTAAAAATGGAGCGAATTTGTGCCCAAAACAACATAGGAAAAGGCTAGCGTCACAGGTGTTGACGGCGGCGAAACAGCAGGATCGAACGCTGGGGCGAGACTGACTCCGTTAATTAACGAATTTCAATTAATTAGACGACTTATCGTTACGATTAGCCCCCTACAATATGTCCCCCTGGCCGTATAACTTACCTCCACAAGCGGCATAAGTGTAACTTTCACGGCTTTTTTTAAACAAATCTGTTAAGCTTAAAAAACACCCTGTATATATATACAGGGTGTTTTTTAAGCTTAACAGATTTGTTTAAAAAAAGCCGTGAAAGTTACACTTATGCCGCTTGTGGAGGTAAGTTATACGGCCAGGGGGACATATTGTAGGGGGCTAATCGTAACGATAAGTCGCCTAATTAATTAAAATTCGTTAATAAACTTTTTAATTAATGAAAATAGACATATGATTACAGTTAGAAGCTTGCTCAGCGTCATCAAAAACCAGTAAATCAGTCCTTTCCAGAGAGACTTTCGGCGCGTGAGAAGCGTAGTATCGTACTAAAGTTGCCACCTCGGTGGCTTCGAGGCGAGAGCGCCGGCCTACGGGTCCCCAGGTGGCGGGTTCGAATCCCGACCGAGGTGCCCGCAATATGACGGAGGCTTATTGCGGAGAAGGCGCCGTGTAACCGAGCTTTCGGTTGCACGTCAAAAGATCCCCAGGTGGTCGAAATTAATCCTCAGTCCTCCGCTGGGGCGTGCCAGATGCCCGTCGTAGGTTTGGCACGTAAAACCCCCAAATTTGACTTTTTCGTACTAAAGTTACCACTCGTGGAGCAGGTACAAGGCTGGGGCTAGATAAGAGACGGAAAAATCGCAGGGGCGCCTTATCGCAACCGCTAGCTTTGTACCTGCTCCACGAGTGGTAACTTTAGTGCACACCTACGCTTCTCACGCGCTCAAAATCTTTCTGAAAATTACTGATTTAGTGGTTTTCGATGACGCTGAGCAAGTTTCTGATTGGAATCATATGTTTATTTTCATTACTTAAAAAGTGAATTAACAAATTTGAATTAATTAGTCGACTGATCGTTACGATTAACCCCCTATAATATGTCCCCCTGGCCGTATAACTCACCTCCATAAGCGGTATAAGTGTAACTGTCACGGCTTTTTTTAAACAAATCTGTTAAGATTAAAAAAAAAAAAAACACTGTATATATATAGCCTGGTGTTATATATAGACTGACGAAGGCCATACTCTGGCCGAAAAGTCGAAGAATAAACCGTCCGTTGTTGCTGTTTTCACCAAGGGCTTTCTTTTCTTCTCAGTTATATATATATATATAGATACATTTTTTTTTTTTCACATTCTTTTCCACGGTGTATCGCAAAATCAAAATGCCTCAAGAGCTCTGCTCTATTTTCGCATTACAGAAAAGCGTAAACGCCTGTAATTTTTTTGGCAAGAACAAGTAAGGATGAACACCAGCATCATGCGATGCCGTCATGTGCAAGCCATGTTTTGGAACAAGTTGACAGAAGTCGAGATTTCAGAAGACACAAATCCAACAACTTCAGCGGAAGTTGAAGAGCCTTCAGTGCCACAGTAAATAGCCGTTGGCACGGGTTTTTGTTTTGGCTAGGGCCACTCAACAGCCTACGCTTAGGAGTACTGACGTTTCCCCGACAGTCTTGCGGGTGCCACCATTTTAATGCCCAACGCAGAACGGGCGCAATTGACTATTGTTGTGATTCGAAAATGCGACTTCCTTGGCTTCAGACATACGGACTCGGTAATCACGGGCGATATCGCTTTGCACTGTCGCTAACCGTTTCCAGATCTCCGGAAGACTGAGAAGTCTTTCCTGCAATTTGAAATAAAGCTTCAGATAACTGGCAAAAACGAATTTTAATCAACGAGGTGGTTGTAGTGTCGTCGCTCTCAAGTGTATAGGTTATTAAATGGGTCTATGTTTACTTTCCGAATTCATCGGACTGATAGAGAAGTGGAAGGGCAAGTTGTTTCCTCCGCTCTAGCAGGCTGTCGATAGAGAGGTTTAGGGAACCGTTTTTGCCCATCAAATGTTGTAGGATGGGCCTTACAGTATGAAGTGCGCTTGTGCGAGTCTACTGTGGTGGCGCATGCGTAGTGCAAACCGGAGAAACTCATCGTACCGTAGCGGATGTGTGAAAATGGTTTCTGCGGACACCCCTCAAGTGTGTTCGAAGTAGGTTTTTCTCATGTGCCTCAAGCACGTCTAAAAACAGTTTTTTTATGACCACGTGACAGGACCATCATACAAGGAAGAAACACGCCTCAAACACTGTCTTCAGACTGCCTTTTGTGTGAGGTATTAGCGGTGCGAGCGCGGCTTAGAAGACGCGAGTAGACTGCGGTGCGCTACCCGATGTAGTCTCCGACGAAGATGGCCTTGGACAAGGCGCCATGGTCCAGGTGCTCCACGTCGACGCAGAGGAACAGCATGGTCAGGATGGCCTCGCTATTTTTCCACAGGAGGGTCAGGAATAGGTGGGGAATATAGAGCACGGCGTACGCCAGCAGCTCCCAGTAGCAAGACACACGAAGACGACGGCTGAAGCTGTCCCTGCGTAGACACCGCCAGCAGGTTTTACGGCGCACTGCCTGACGAGTTTGATTTTAGGGTCGCCTTCTGTGACTGGCATCCATTTAAGCTATTTAAGCTTATTCATACAAATAAAAGATGGTCCCCCTTAGCCCTTAAAAGAAAAGACAATAGGTTTTTGGGCCGTCAGACCAGTATTGATATGAATGTTGCTTAGCATTACGCCCTCGAGCATAATGTACCCTAGTTACCTTCGTATCTTCAGAGGCTGAAGGATACCCCTTGAATTCTGACATCCATGGAAGTAGCATGTGTAGAACAAACAAAAAAAAAAGAAAAACTCTGCAAGCACGAAAGGTGCTTTGTTGTTTTTTCGTGGCTGTTAATTTTGCATTTCTGCCGTAGTGCAGCTCTATTTGATTTGTTTTTTTCACCGATTTCCCAAAACGGCTCATTCCTCCTGCTTGACAGGCAGGGGCCTTACTAAGCCGCTGCGCACGTTGTTTTAGCTCCCCTCAGGCAATTTCCGAACGACTCATCTGCGTACTAGGAGGAGTCGCTCGCAAATAATACATACTTCCCACAAAAAATGAAAGACGTTTATAAATTTCTGTCATGCGAACGTAGAGCGCAGCTCTTGAGGTATTTCGATTTTGCGATATACCGTGCTAAAGAATTTGAGAAAGAAATATATATATGTACAAATATAGACTTCACGTGATTACGTAAGTCAAGTTACCAGGTAACCTGACGTGATCGCGTAACTTCACGTGATCACTAACCTTTTTTCTGCACGTAAACTTACGCGGCTACGATCACGTAACCTTACGTGGTTATCTGATCACGTAACTCACGTGATCACGTAACCTTCTTTCTGCACCCTCCTCCTCTTCCGCGTCCTCCTCCTTCTTCGTACCCTCCTCCTCTGTATCCTCCCATCCTCCTCTTTTAAACCCTCCCCTACTACTCCTCCGTATCCTCCTCTCCTAGCCCTCCGTGCCCTCCCCCCTCCTCCTCCGTACCCTCCCCCCTCCTACTCCTCCGTACCCTCCCCTCCTCCTCCTGCGTACCCTCCTCCTCCTCAGTACCCTCCCAACCTCCTCCAGTTACGCCGACGGCGACGTCAACGCCGATGCCGCAAAACACGAGAACGAGCGCTTAAAGGCCCGACCGCACTAACGTCGCGGAGGCCTGCCGCGCGCCGCTGGCCGCCGCGGGCTGACGGCGAAAACCAGTTTTCGCGCTCAGCGGTGCGCCGCTGGGCGCCGTCAAGGCAACCTGCACGTACGCGGTTGAGGTCTCGCCGTTTCTCGCCGCAGAAGAAAGGAGCCAATGGGAAGTGGCGTAGATAGTGGCACTGCGATGTCATGGCAACGTCCGAGGCGCTTCTCCCTGCGTCTTTCAAGTTGCAAAGGAGCGTAGCGATTTTTTTCGTTTTGTCTGCTATCCCTATTTCCCCCAATGCCTTTCCCAGCGGAGTGGTTCCTCGAAGCTGTGCGACAGTTTTCCTTTTTATATGACGAGAAGCAGCCAGACTAGCTAGATAAGGACGCTAAGAACAACCGCTAAATTATCGGAGATTAATTTGGAATAACAGGTGAGTTTCTCCGTGGCACTTGTCGCATGTCTTCTGCGTTGCGACGAATGTCGTGTTGATTTGGTGACATTTTCGAAAGTAGCCTTCATCTCTGGCGCGCAGCCGGGGCAGCAAAGCAGTGACCCGTTCCTCGGTGTTTCGGTAGCACCAACTCGGCCGGACGCAAAACCTGCGCCTTCTTTCCTTTAGAGCGCGGCGACGTCGCAAGATCAACAAGCAGGCTATGATGATCACAATCACGCTGATCATTAGGTCATCATCGACACCTACCGGGCAGTGAGTGCGGTATCGATGTTTATATATTTGAAAAAGGAGAGCCGAAACGGAAGAATCTAACGAAGAGCAGACGACGAAAGAGCGAGAAATCCGACGTGAGGCGCGCGCGCGATGTCGAGAACGCGAGTTTTAGTGCTGTCACGTGACGCCCGCAAAACGGAGGCCAATGTGGCTTCCTCGCGTTGGGACGCCGGGTGGTGGTGCCACCCAGCGGCGCCGACTGGCAGCGCCGTTGCCGCTAGTGTGGTCAGGCCTAAAGAGCTGCGCTCTAAAATTCTGTATAATATAGACCATTCCATTTAGCGCTCTCTGGGCGGCACCATTTTGTTCGACAGCAGCGCCCTCTCCATACATCCGGGAAATTCAGCGGGTTCGGCGGGGTAAAACGAGAGAGAGGGCACGCGCCCGACTCCGCTAGCAGACGACAAAACGGGAGGTTGCCATTCTCCATCTTTGGGCTGTATCGGCGGGCTGTACGGAACATTGAACTCTCGCCTGTGGCTGCCGTTGTGAAGTGGTTCGCGTTCTTAGAGTAGTTATGGCTACTCCAAAATTAGCCTAGAGCACTCTGTTGTTCTACTTCGGTAAATGATCAACTGCCATATCTTTTTTCCGTTACTTAAATAGCAATTGAGTCAGCCGGCAGTACTACCCTCAACTACTGCGTGTATTGCGGCAGGAGTGCACGTTTTTATTTATTATTTCAGACATCCACTCATGGTCGCTAAAGGCCTACACCAGTACGAACTTTGTATAGCAAAAAAGGTACAGCCACCGGATTCACTTTTCACCAAAGAGACCGGCCAGTCTGACACAGTTTTCCCTATTTTTTTTTTATTTGCACGCAGATAGCAGCCCAATTGGACTCTGTTAGTCTTTTTTATCTAGCATAGTAATATACTATAACTGGAATACCAAAATCTGCGCTTGAAATTCCCAAAATGACCCGATTTTAAAAAGAGTTTATACGCCAGCCAGATGCTAGGTACTGACCACTCGGCGGAGCAGACGACATTCGGGCGAGAGGGGGAGGGCATTTTTTTTCTCTTTTTACCCTCTCTGCTATGACCTTAATGGAACGGTCTATATCGGCTACGTCATAGGGCACCAGTCAGCCCATGAGCAATACAGTAGCGTGCGAATAATACAAATTTTCCTTAAGAATCCCGGATAATTGGACACATCATATGGCATCAGTCCGCCCTGGGCATTACAGTAGAGGACGGCACATCAACCCTTAATCTGAAACTTACCTCACGGGACGCTTAAGGTCTGGTGGTGGTCTGAAGCAGTAGATGGCTCCGGAAACAATAGCGACGACCTCACGCACCATGGTCATCAGGTTGTCAAGCACCGCCACCTGGTCCCTGTCTTTGCCCCAGCACAGCAACGCGCTGGTCAGCCGGAACGCCAGCGACGGAACCGGCAAGCCCAGGGCGAGACACCAGAGGAATCTCTGCGAAGCCTTCAGCAGGATGTCCGTCTTGTTGCCACCGGACACCCGGGTCGGAGTCATGGCCATCGCAGAGACTCTGTCATCCGTCGCCACCGAAGAAGGCATCAGTGTGGACATTCCGTGCTCAATATGAATGACCTCCTCTTTAGCCTGAAGTGGCCGCTGGACGGAGAAGGCTTCCCTGCGAGAGAACATTGTTCACAAGGGCGGAGTCCATAGAATGCAAAACTCCGCGACACTGTTAGCGCGAACATGCCACCGCCGGTTTTATCTGTTTGTCTCTAAGTATTGAAGAACAGCCATCAAAACTACTATTAGTGGTGGAAATTTCTCAGTTCGAGTACTAACCTAAGGGATACATTTTGATTACCGCAGGTACCTTATGGAGGAAAAATGCGCAAAATTCCCAAAGCCGTCGCTAACCGTGTCGGGCTGTGTACATCTCAAATAAATCGTTGGTAGCCGCTGTAGTTTTTCAATAGAGTGATAAGAAAAGAACTGGAAGCTCTAGAATGTTCATAGGCCAGATATTGGTGTGCCTTGTAATTTTGCTTACGCGGTTTACGAGTGGAAACCTGACGTTTCCAACCTGTGCGTCACGTGGCTAAAAATAATACGTGATAATACGAAAACGCGTTGGAACATCGCCCGTTGATATCGAAACTAGCAGTAGAGAAAATTACGTTCATAAATATTTTATTCTGTTACTCGAACGTTGCCTTCACGTGCTGATTGGCTGAGGTGTTGAGGTGTGCTAATACGCTCGACTACCGCAAACTACACCACGGTAATCACTTCAAATCTCACAGGAAGTTTAAAAGCATGCAATTTTAAAAATCATATCAGGCGCCATTCGCAAGAAACTTGAGAAGAACAGGCCGTATTCATCCACAAGGGTGCAGTCAGTGAATGTTCCAGAAGAGCCCACATCTCAGAGCCTACCTAAGCTGAGCTGCAGATTCTTCAGCATTATAATGAAGTTACCGGACAAGGTACATTTGTTTGGTCCCTCATAAAGAAGACGCAAACGCAGAATCCTTGGGATATTGTAAAAAGCGATAATTTTAAGAACAGAGACGTGATGGAAGATGAGTTTTAGTTACCCGACGCCAACAGTCCTGGCAGGTGTCTAGCCCGCACGGGGAATGAACGTGACCTTGTCGACTGAACTGGGCCGAAGAGACTTTGCCAGACGAAGTACAAAGCCGTGCACGCGAGGCACTTGGAGCACACCAGCAACGGATGATCGACCAAGGTCTGTTCGTGACTCATTAGAGCGTCTGCAGTGATTGATCGCACGAGTTTTTTCTAGCCAGCTTTACAGTTGCACGCCGTTAGTTTTGCAGACTACAACACTCCGAAAGTAGTTTTTCTGTATTAATCAAGGTCATTCTTTGTCCGCGTCTTGCCGTCGTGTTTTGTTTCTGATCACAGAGCGCCGCACTGTGTAGTGGTAGCACATTCACCAAAGCGAAGCGAGAGAGCTTTGTTCGTGTTTCGAGCTACAAATACAGGCCTTTCTCCGCTATCGAAAGGAAACGAGCTTTTTGGCAACACAAGCAGTTTTCTTTACTGGCAAACCAAGCAACCCAAAGGAATATTTTTTTTTGGCAAACCAAGTAACCCAAGCAACCCATGGCGTATGTTCCTATAAGGATGCTTGTGTTCCTCACCTGCTGTGGTCCATGGCCCACAGAGAACCATGTATAAACAACGAGACCTGTTTCACGTCATCGAACCTGGCGGATTGAGGCGACAGCTACAGTTAACATAATACTAATTATCCATTTATTTTCATCACATAATGGGGCGACCGAGAAAAAAAGCTGCCTACCGGCAGCTTGACGAGTTCTCGGCTCCCTTACAGTGGTAGACGGTGGTCATCCGAAAACAAAAAATATGGACAGGTATCAAAGGGCGCATCTAAGAAATAAATACAAGAACAATCTAATTTCCCACCGAAAATTGCAAATAAATAAACCTGTAGCATAGAGGTAACATTATAATGAATAAAAATGAAAGCCGTTTACAATTCCCTGTAACGCCGGTTAGAGCGCAGCTCTTGAGGAGGAAGATAGAAGCGTACTGAGGGATAGGTGACTCCTTGAGGTCACGTGACCTCAAGGGGGTTACGTGACCTTGGGGGGTTACGTGACCTCAAGGGGGTCACGTGACTTCAGGGGGTCACGTGACCTAGGGGTGTCACGTGACCTCAGGGGGTCACGTGACCTTAGGGGCGTCACGTGACCTCAAGGGGGTCACGTGACTTCAGGGGGTCACGTGACCTAGGGGTGTCACGTGACCTGGGGGGTCAGGTGACCTCGGGGGGGTGACGTGACCTCCCGGTTACGCCGACGGCGACGGCGACGCCGACGCCGCTCAAGCCGGAAACGGGCCCCTAAGAGCTGCGCTCTAAAAAAACATGTTCTGTTCTAAAAGTACATTAAAATTGTACATATGCAAATCACACTACATTTTATTTAGTTCGAATGTACTTGAAAACATTGTATGTAAGGAAAACATATATCTATGTAGGGAGCAATGAACTATAAAAAGCACAAAAATACATGGTATAAAAATATGCGTAAAGAAACCTTAGGTTTCGAAAAGTTGAAAAAAAAAATCACTGTTGTTCGCTATATGGACATTTAGAGCTTTTGGTTGTGTGTATTTGAGCATTTGGAATCCATAATTTGCTTGCATACGTTCACCTTCCAGTATTCGATTTTTTGGGGGTTATGCAAGAAGGATAATATCTGGTTAATAAAACAGGGATGTTAAGTTCTGAATGTTTTGTCTCGATTCCGATAAAAATCTGCGGCTAGTCTATAAGTAAAGACACCGAAAATTATAATAATAGCAAGTCGCTGAAATAAGGGCAACGTATAGGGATCATGAGAAGTACTACAAATGCAGCGTACAGTTATCTTTTGGAGTATACGCAATGTTTCTAGGTGTTTAGCTGTTGTTGTGCAAAAGACAAGATGGCATATATCGTTAGGGTTGTTAGATGACCCGCAGCGGCCTCTAAGAAAACGATATTGTTCGACTAGGGTTTTAAAGAAGGACGTGCCGTTTAGAAGGATCCCGAGTTATCGGGGATCGAACTTCCAAAGTTCTCAAGAACTTCGTAGCCCCCCACTTGCCAGGTACCCGCACATTGCGAGATCAAAATTCTATTAGAGGAGGTCTATAGTGTGGAATCCGACTTGCCTTACTGCACCACGAGGTCGATCCCACTCCGTAGCTCGATGTTGAGGACTGCTACGGCCGGGTCCGTCCGGCGGCTGCCGTGGACTCCGAGGAGAGGATTCACTCCAAAACACAAAGATACTGAAGAAGCGGGTTTATTCGGCTGCTGTGCCACCACGCTGTGCCCGTCGGCCAAACTAATAAAAGAAAAGAACGGAAAAAGGTCGGCGCTGTCGCATTAGACAGATTCACCTGAAGGGGGCCCACGCTGCCGCATTAGGCAGATTCGTGGAAACGGGAAAGCTCCAAAAAGAACGAGGTTTCGTGGCCCAGAGCCTTCCCCGACCAGCCCGGGCCGCCGTTCGCGGCCGCTTATCTAGCCAGCGGAAAGTGGACGCGCCCGGGGTAGGTAGTGTGGCTTATCCCGCAGATGGGCCCCGTCCACAATCATTTCCGAAGGGTGCGCCGGAGGCACTTTCACCCAAAAGGGCGTGGGAAGACACGCCCTCTTCGAGGAATGCGGCCTTACCCCCGTATCCGGGAAGACGTCGCCATAACGCTCCCACGGCCTGCTTGTGCTAGGCCTAGATAGGGAGACGGGAAACACGTGGTTCCCACAATGGTTTGCAGCATTTTGTAAAGTCCGATCTCTTTAGTCTGCAAAATGTGTCAGCTAGAACATCCGTTTTCTGAAAACGTGTCTTTATTCTTCAAAACTTTTGCCTTTTCTTGTTGCAATTTTGAATCTTTTTTTGGAAAGCACCTTCTAATACGGCTTGTGGCCCTCTTGGAAAAAATATAAAACTAAAGTTTTAGGAATTACTTTTTGATACGTATGAAATAAAGACAAAAGAATTATTTTCGCTTGCGTGTAATGGTATCTGTTAAAAAAAATACCAGCTTGATATTATGCTCACAGAGATTGGTAGGCACAGAATTTGTGACAGGCTTACACCTAAGGGCGTTCGTCTGCGGGGTCCCTGGTGAAGGCACTTCCTGCGGCTCCTGCCATCTCTTACGTCTAGATAAGCTCTCTTATTACTTGTCCCACCGTGGACAATTACTTGTCCACGGTGGGACAAGTAATTGTCCACCGTGGACAATTACTCGCCTATTACTTGTCCAGCGTAGCCATGGCTGCGAAGCAGCCATGGCTACGCTGGAAGAGGAAACGAGAGAGAGGCGTCTGCACCGCGCTAGAACGGCACCGCCTCCGCCTCGTTACAAATCAAGTGTGTCGAAGATTCGCTATCATTGATGGAAAACGCTATGAGATGGCACAGCATGACATGCTCACACGCTTTCAGGGAGGATGGTTCGCTGAGGAAGACGTGTCCTTGCCGCGCTCCGCTCAACTTCGTTCAAAATGCTACATCCCAACAACATTCTGAGTTCCTCGACCTCAGCGGAGACATGAAGACCACCCAGGATCACCTCAACACCATAGCCACCACCGTGGCGACCCCGGCTCTGCCCAGCAAGCTGCCCGCAATCCGCACTCTAAACTTCACTTGCCCGTCGGGCTTTCAGGTGGGCAACATCAAGTTTGGAGGCGATTCTCTCCCCTGCACAGAACAACTAAATAAAAGCACGCAGCTCATGCGTAACGGCCTCGCGGATCCACCTCAAAATCTACATATCCAAGCCCCCCAATCCGGTATTGGAGAACAAATACTTCCAATTTCTTTTCTTAGAAGGATTTGACATTCAAGTCCTTCTAAAAGAGACACCACCAAAGCGCCTGACCGAACAATCGTTAGGC